ATATGCTGTCATGTAAATGTGCTTTGATCTCCTCTTCCTCACAAAACCTGTTCTTTACATACAAACATACATACAAACAGTGTATCACTGTTCTTTATCAGGAATTCAAGGCTTAATAAAGCTAAGCATTGGAGCTGGAGAGATAGCTCAGCAGTAAAGAGCACTGGTTGCTTTTCCATAGGACCTGGGTTTCAATTCCCAGAACCCACATGGCAGCTCACAACTGTCTGTAACTCCAGTTCTAAGGGATCTGGCAGACATACATGCAGGCAAAACACCAAATGCACATAAAATAAAAATAGATAAATCTTAAAAAATAACAAATAAAATAGTTGAGCGGTGGTGGTGCGTACCTTTAATCTCAGCACTCAGGAGGCAGAAGCAGGTGGATCTCTGTGAGTTCAAGACCAGCCTGATCTATAGAGCGAGTTCCAGGACAGGCTCCAAAGCTACAGAGAAACCCTGTCTGGAAAAAAACAAACAAAAATAAACAAACAAAACAAAACCAAATTAACAAAGTAAAAAGCAGTAAGCCAAGCATTACTTTGCTCCAGGAAGAGGCAGAGCAGAGACTCCTGAGATTTCTGAGCCCAAATACCAAGCTATTGGCCACCCTGCTGTATGACCAGCTTTCTGCCAGCAGGCTCTCATCATGTGTTAACACACAGAGGGGCTGCATGGTGTCTGCCCAGACCACATGACTTTAAAAGGAATTAAAGCCACTGTCAGCATGTTCACCCGATCTGACAGACAAGGCTGTTCAGTGACTGCATGCTACACCATAGCTTCAAAGACTGTCTCCAATACCAGGGCAGGTATGGGAGAAGTCCCCTGCGTTCCAAAGTGTTACACAGGTGAGCATTTCTGAAGAAATATATAGCCCTTCTGAATTTTCATCTCAGTTTGAAGAATCAGTATTTAGTCTCAACCACAATCTTATTTTGTAGCCATTACACCTTAATCTCACCAACTCTAGAGGCTAAGATGGAAAGTTAGCCTCTAGCTAAGAAGGTCTGGGCTACATAGTGAGTTCATACCCATCCTAGACAACTTAGTAAAATCCCTCTCTAAAAAATAAAAATAAAAAAGGTTTTCAAAAGATAAACAGAAAAAAAATAAGGTAAACAAAAGATCCTACTCCAAAATAAAAATTAAAGTCAGGCATGGTAATACAAGCCAGTATTCCTGCACTTGAAGGGAGGAGCAGTGAGAGGTAAGAGGAGCAGTAACTAGTAACCTTGACAACTACCCAGTTGGAAGACAGCCTGGGTTACATGTCTTAAAAAAAGAAAATCAGATTGGGGCTGTAGCTGAAGGTATAGTGCTTGCCTGGCATGCATAGGGGCCTGGTTCAGTTCCCTGTGCACACACACACAAACAAGTATTCTGAAATCACCACTTATCTATGGGCTGCAGTATAGCTCAGTGGTAGAGCATTTGCCTAGCATGCCCATTGTCATGGGTTTGATCCCCAGCACTGGAGAAAAAGTGATATGAACCATATATTTAAAAGAAAATTTTATCTAAGTAAATGAGACCTGATGCAGTGTTAATACAAACAGCATGGGCTGCATTGATTGTGGGGACACTGGACTTAAAGTTCAGAAAGGGTCTTTGCCAGCATGCTTCCCTAGCCAGGGCTATCTGTTCATCTAGCTGGTGTGAGCTACCCTGTTTCAAACTGCTTCCTTTCCACACACAGGTAATTTCTAAGCAAGATATCTTCAACGTCGGTCTGGACTGCAATCACAGCCATGGCCACTTCTAATTCTGCCTTCCAGACTTCACCCTGATCCCAAGTCTTCCAAAGCTGACAGTCTGCCTAGAAGTGCAGAGGGAAAGGTCCATTCTCCATCCTCTTTTCCACCACCTGCTGTCTGTCTCCCCACACAGCATGTTGGGTGTTCTATTCCAGCATCTCAACTGACATGACCGAGGGTGTGTGTGTGTGTGTGTGTGTGTGTGTGTGTGTGTGTGTGTGTAACTAATACAGAAACCAGAACTAAGAACATAGAGGAAAGGGGGGTATAAATTCTATAATGCAAACCTTGAGAACAAAAAATGCTGAATCTACCCTGTGATATGTAAATTTTTTTTCCGTAGATCCTCCTGGTTTCAAACTCACTATGTAGTGACAGAAGACTCTGAGCTTCTTTCAGCTCCCAAGCACTAGGATTCCAGGTGTGTGTCAGCAGCATCATGCACACTAGGCAAACACTCAAGCAACCGTTATGTGAAACTGTGTTACAATAAATGTTCATATGTCAAGGTAAAAATTACATGTACACATACACCCATCTACTTAGTTTAAAAGAGGTCCCACACAGTATGCATGGATTAGAGCCATGAATGCTGGGAAGTATATATACATGTTCTTTAGTTGCCTAGATACAGATTTTCTTCCAGACAACAGAGAGAATAAAACACATTTCAAAATTTCGCACAGAGCCAGGCAATGGCTTAACTGCACTGCATGCAACTGCACCTTCAACCTTTCAGAAAAGGTCCCTTTCCCGGTGATTGGTCACACCAAAACACTGACCTCTTCCCAGTCAATGGTGTCCCTTGATCTTACAAATAGTGTGTTTCCCTTGTGAGACCTTTTCCTTCATAGAAATTATAACTGGGACTTCAGCATCACAGGCATTCTGATTTAAGCCACAGCTACCTGGATTTTAATGTGTTCATTAAGGAAAGAAATGTACCCTCTACTCTATTCATCTGTCACTTCTTGCTTGGCCTAAGACCTCACAAACTCCATGTCCTCTTATATTTTTTGTGTTTACCACTTCAAGGACAAATGAATAGCACATTAGTTTGTGTGTGTGTGTGTGGGGGGTCTGTTGCTGTTTGCTTGTTTGTTTGATATGGAATATTGCTATGTAGAACCGGAAGATCTGAAATTCACTATGGAGCTCAGGCTGGCCTCAAACTCATGGTAATCCTCCTGCCTTTGCATCCCAGGTTCTAGGATTGTAGTCGTGAGCCACCATGCCAGGAGATACATTTAAAAATAATCATGACAGGGCTAGAGAAATGGCTCAGCAGGGCAGTATTGGTGCACACCTTTAGTCCCATCACTTGGGAGGCAGTGGCAGGAGGATCTCTGTGAGTTTAAGGCCAGCCTGGTCTACAGAGCGAGTGTTCCAGGACAGGTTTCAAAGCTACACAAAGAAACCCTGTCTCAAAAAAAAAAAAGCAACAAAAACAAACAACCCCCCCTCCTCTGCCTGGCTGTATTGTAACTAAATGTCTGGTATATGTCTACACTGCCTTTTCAGATACAAGTCCACATTTGTATGTCACTTTAAGGGTCTGTCCTTGCAAAGCCCCCCCCCCTTCTCTCTTTCCCCTTCATTTTTGTGACAGTGCATACTGTAGTGGCTTATTTGTAAGAGGAGGAAAAGAGAATGATGTGGAAGGGTTCTCATGTCCAGATTGCCTTACCTCCAACCCGGTGGTTCTCAAGCCTCCTAATGCTGTGACCCTTTAATACAGTTCCTCACATGGTGACTCCCAAGCATAACATTATTTTTGTTGTTACTTCATAAGTTTACTAATGTTATGAATCAAAAAGTAATATCAGAGATCCAGGATATCTGACATGCAACCCCCAAGGGGGTTGAGACCCACCACTCTAAACTGTTATGGGATTTTTTTTTTTTTAGGGAGAAGGGTCTTTTTCTTTCTTGTTTGCCGTTTGTTTTGTTTGAAACAGAGTCTCACTATGTAACTATGTAGCTCTTGTTATCCTGGAACTCATATATTTTTATGACTATAATTTGACTAAATGCAATGGGAAAACCAAAACTTTTTATTTTTTTTTAATATCTACTTCTCTTTCAGAAAAGTTTACAGCCCACACCTTTGATGTCAGCATTCTGGAAGCATATGTAGGTAGCTCTCTGTAAGTTTGAGGCCAGCCTGTCTAAATAGCAAGTTTTAGACCAATCAGGGAGACCCTGGCTCAAAACAAAACACAACACTAAGCAAATAAAACAAAACAAAAAAAGTTAACATTACCAAAGAAACAACACGCAAGGTTGTATTCTGGGTCCCATATGCACACAGTGTTCCATCCACCCTTTATACACACAGATGAGCCCCCTACAAACACACACATATTCATAAATACTGAACTATTTATGCAAATGCATTATACATTTATCATTTTGCCCGAATTTTATCTCAAAGTGTAAGTTTACTTTATGGAGAAATTGCCCTGACAGCCCAATAACCAGTATACAAACAAGCTAGTTAATTCCTCATTTAATGAACAGACAGAATTTTTTTAAGGCAATTGATCAGATCATAAGTAAATGGCCAAGAGCATGGAAGTGCTACCTGTAGACTTTCAAAGTGTCAATCATATCTGCAGTCATCATTTAAGGAATTAACGTCAGCCAATGTTATCATCTAAAATGTATTTGCAGAGGTCAGAAGAGTCCTGCTTGTCCTCCGTGCCCAACAGCAGTGACATCAAAGGGGCTGGTTTAGTTAGTGGATTTAAGGTAGTTTGGGGAGTTTTCCCCACTAAGTATGATCTCCTGACCCCTCAGATTTACAACTTTCCACTCTCTGGGCTGCAGAGAACCCCTCCTTTTCTGAGTTAATCATTTCTTTGCCATTATCTGCCAAGAGTTCTTATCTCTCTTGCTGTCACTTTATAACAGGGTCCTCTTATCAACCTGCACAGGGTCATGTGATCAGTCAAAGCCTATTGAAAGCTTCCTTTCTTCTGATTAGAACCCATCATGAAACTGGAGACACGGTTTACAGCAGGTCACTAATGCTGGAAAAAGTGCAGAGTCCAGGGGACATGGCTCGCACCCTTCTGAATTCTGGATTTTCCCCCTTTTTCTTAACTTTCACTAAGGGAATGAGGGTTACTGTAGTCTGAGGTTTCCTTCCCAAGGCCACAAAATATGACAAGTCGCAATCTTTCTCATGCTCAATGATTTCTGCTGTAAGCCAAAGGACTGCCAATAATTTCGCTAAGAATGTCTGCTAGTTCGGATACTGGGGATTTTCAAGAATTTCTTAAGCATGGATTTACAGCTATTGGTAAGTAGGAAGCCACTCTCTTTATTGTCTGGCTGTTTCTGCTACTGCTAGTGGATTTGTGTTTTAATACACTTCTTTTCTTATGGTAATTATTAAAAGCACACAGTAAGTCCACACATATATCATACATGTACTTTTCTTGACGTTCAAAGAAACAAATGAGTATTTCAACACATGAATATCATTTATTGTATCTGGTGTTGGTGTTTGGGGATGTCATTGTATTAGATCAACTGTTTCAGAAAATGCAGAGTGGGGTTTTATTTGTTTGTTTTTGTTTTTTGAGACAGGGTTTATCTGCATAGCCCTGGCTGTCCTGGAACTCTTTCTCTTTCTGTAGACCAGGCTGATCTCGAACTTCAAGAGATCCTTCTGCCTCTGCCTCCCAAGTGTTGGAATTAAAGGTGTGCACCATCACCGCCCAGCAGAAAATACAGTTCTTAATCATATACTTCAGCCTTTACAATTTCTGATCATTTTCAATCAAACATACTAAGTGAAATTTTGAACAGTTTGAAACAAGCAAATTGCATTGATTGACCATTGATCAAATGACCAAAAAGGAAGTTTTCCAGCATTGTGACATTTCAAGGTACTGGACAGTGAGATATCTCATTCACTGTGAAACCACAGGGGGGGAAAAATGCCTGTAGGAAATCAAAGTCATTCAAGAGAAACAAAGCCAGACTATTACTAAAGGGTCCCAGGAGGGGATGCACTGTGAGTGTGACTTGCTTTTATCAAAACAAATAAGCACATGCCCTCCCAACAAGTGGAACCTGGAGTTTGGGCACTTTCTAGGCAAGCATTATATCACTGGGCTACACACCTAGCCAAGTCTTGATTTTGTTGTTGTTTGGGAGATGGGGGAAGATTGGGGTTCTGTTTTGTTGATTTTATGTTTTGTTTTGCTTTGGATTGACAGGGTTATGTTAAGTAGCCTTGGCTGTCCAGGAACCTGTCTTGTGTTGATCCTCTGTCTCCCTCCACAATGCTGGAACTGTAGGTGTGAGCCACCGTGCCTGATTCATTTTTTTTAAAAGGACACACACACACACACACACACACACACACACACACACACACACAAATCTACACAAATTTGGCAATTTTGCTGCAAAGATTACATTCAGTTAATCCTATTAAAGACAAGGGAAGCGATCTCTAGTGGGCTGTGACAAGACTGCTGGAGAGCAAGCCACCTTTGCTTCCTCTGGACCCCAGCCTGAGTCAGCCCTTCTCCGAGGTCTTTGCTCCATCAGTGGTCGCCAGCCCAGGATAGGAAAAGGATCACCAGGGTTCCTGTTTAGTCCCTGTCCCTGGGAGCAGCCAGCTGACTGCACCTAAGGCAGTGATTGCTTTTTTTTTTTTTTTTTTATGGTCCAGCTACGCCCCGAAGTATCAATTGAGGAAATGTTCACCAAGAAACGTTCTGTACTTGAGAAAAAGAAAACACTGGGAAGCGAGTGCCAGAGAGCATGTGGCTCTTCGGAGGATAGGGAAGTGGGGCACCAGAGCCAGGCAAGCTTTGAGGCCACTGCAAGCTGTGCACTTGCGCGGGAACGCACCGGGTGTGCGGGCAAGACAGCGCGCGCCCCCGAGGCTCGCACCCGCGCAAAGCTACCGGGGCTTTGACCGCACAGAGCTGCCCAGGACAGGGGAGGCGGCTCTGGAACCACACACTTGGTGCCCGCACAGGGTCCCTAGTCCATAGGGATGATTAAAGATGGCAAGGCAGCAGGCAGACTGCAGTAGAACGGGAGCTGTTTTCAACCAGTGTACCGCAGTAGCATCTCAAAGGCTATGCTGGGACTGAGAACAGATTAGATCTCCCAGAGGTCTAGAGCCTTAGTTCCCCCAGAACAGTACCCGGGGAACCTCGTTCGCCCTGGATCAGCTTACACCCAAACCCCAGGCTTGCCTAGGCCATTCAGGTCGCCAGATACAAAAACGACAAATACCATTTAATTTTCCCAAAGGAGCTGGGGAGCGGGGTAGGGAAAAAAGGAAGGACATAGGAGGAAGGGAGGGAGGAGAGAGATGGGTAGGGGTCAAGGAGAACCTTTTTCATTATAGCCATCTAGGCATATTTCTGGTATAACCTTTTCCTAAGGACACCTGTAAATGGCTCTTTATATTCCTTTGTATTCTGTAATGGAAATTACAGATTTGGGTACATGTAGAATTCAAAGGGGGTGAGATGAGAAAGAAATTGGCAATAACCTCCAGGGAGGTAGCTATAGGTTTAAGGGAGAGGAGAGGGAACTATTGGTGGTCTTGGCCTAGGGCTATTGTATGGCTCACTGTGGCAATGCACACAGTTGCTGCATGCCTAATCAGTTAAGAAAATTCAGTGTCTATGCTAGTTACAGAGTCAGCATGAAGAAGATGGGGTGTCTCCTGAATGACTGTGTTTAGAAAAAGAGATCTGTAGGGGGAGGGGCTAGGCAAAGTAAAGCTAAACAGGTTTTGTTTGTTTTTGTTTTTTGGGTTTTTTTTTTTTTTTTCAAAACAGGGCTTCTCCCTGGCTTTGGAGGCTGTCCTGGACTTGCTCTTGTAGACTAGGCTGGTCTCGAACTCACAGAGATCTGCCTGTCTCTGCCTCCCAAGTGCTGGGATTAAAGGCCTGTGCCACCAACTCCTGGGAAGTTTTATTTTTAAACACTTTTGACAAGGTTGTGGCTCCCATGGGGAGAAATGCTGGATTCCTTTGTCAGGATCTGAACTGTGTCATTTCCCCTCCCAGCTCAAGTATCCCTCCAAAAACCTCCTAGGGTCACTTAGAACTTCCCACTGCTAGTTCTTTTTTTTTTTTTTTTTTTTTTTTTTCCCCAGACAGGCTCTCTATGTGGCTTTGGAAGCTGTTCTGAACTAGCTCTGTAGACCAAGCTGGTCTCCAACTCATAGAGATCCATCTACCTCTGCCTCCGAGTGCTGGGATTAAAGGCGTATGCCACCACCACCCGGCTCTTTTTCCTATTTTCCAAGACAGTGTTTTTCTGTGTAATAACTTTGGCAGTCCACAGTGAACCAGGCTGCCTTAAACTCAGAGAGATCTGCCTGCCTCTGCCTCCCAAGTGCTGGGATTAAAGGTGTGCACTACCACACCCAGCCATACCTTCCAGGTTCTAGACAAGAAACATCGGAAAAGACATTACATCGGAAAAGAGGTATTGTTCACTCTTTCCTCCTCTATTTCTCTGGGTTCTGAGACAGGTTCTCGGTTTGTAGTAAATGCTAGGCTCAAGCTTGAGGCAATTTTTGCTCTCCAGCCTCCTAACTGACTGGCCACACCTGGACCTTACACCCCTAGTCTTTTTTGTAGTTGTTTTGTTTTTGTTTTTGGAGACAGGGTTTCTCTGTAGCTTTGAAGCTTATCCGGGAACTCTCTCTGTTTCACCAGACTGGCTTTGAGATCCATCTGCCTCTACCTCCTGAGATTGTGGGATTAAAGGTGAGTGCCACCACCATCAGGTCCTAGTCTTTCTTTTGTGATCTAAGGATTGCACAAGATAGGAAGACTAAGCTGCACCCCTCAGATCCATCCCATCATCTTTTGGTCACACACACACAAATGTCTTCTGGGTAGAGGATCATTGACACCCTTTGAATTGTGCAGGCTTTAAGATTTTTATTTATATGAATGTTTTGCCTGTATGTATGTCTCTGTGTGTCTGGTGCCAAAAAGAGGGCCTCTGATCCTCTGGGACTAGAGTTGTGATGGTTGTGAACTGTCATGTGGGTGCTTGGAATCAGACCTGGGTGCTCTGGGAGAGCAGCCAGGGTCTTAAGTGCTGGGCTATCTCTCCACCTCCCCCCCCCCAGCCCCAACTGTGAAGCTTTTGTAGTCATTCTACCTCTAAAACTATCCCTTCCTCCTCAGATGCCCCATGCTCAGGGTGGCCACCCTACTATAAGTCATAAGCCTTGGTTTTTCAGTGCCTTTTTATAGGCACTTTTTATAAATTGTGTTTCTCTATATCCCCTCTAGGCAATCACTGTTTTTACTTGGAGTCAGGTAGTCTCAATGTAGAGCGTCATTTAAAGACAGTCCTTTTTCAGATCATATAACAGTAGGATTCTACCTAAGAACTCCCTTTCTTGGCTCAAGAACTTCCCACTGACTTTGGATACAGCTGAATAGTAGCTTAGCGTCGTTCCCTAAAAGACTTTCTAGTCCAGGTTGAGGCAGGGAGTTTTTATGAGGAAAGAAATCTGAAGTGTTGCCTAGTTTACCTCTTGGCCGGCAGGCTCGCGGACTGTCCTTGTCTTGTCAATGCCAAGTGTTGCTTGGTCTGGAACACCCAGCCCAGATCATTTTCTCAACCCAAAGTTTTGGAGGCCAGTTCTCCTTTAAAAATCCGGGGCTCCCAAGGCAGGGCACCCTTGGACCCCGGGTTGAAGAAAGTTCCCAGTGACGTCATTCTAAATCTAAAGAACCTTAAATTCCGAAAAAGGAGGTCAAAATCTCCTAAAGCCCCTCTTTTCTTTCAGGGCGAGGATGAGAGGGCGTCCAGGGTGGAGGTCGGGCTGGCTTTTTCCACGGCGTAAAGCCCGGGAGGGGGAATTTATTAGGGCTTGTGAATCAGCGGATTTGCCCCAAGTCGGGGAATTGGCTGCCTGCCCCCAGGGGGGGATGTCCACCCCCGCAGCTAGCCGATAGTGCTTATTTGACACGCACAACACAAAGGGAGTTTTTTAAAAAAATTTGTTTTAAAGAGGAAAGGCGACTCACTTCGAGTTTGTGTTTTGTTTCAACGAACGGTAAGGTGCTCCATAGCCTTCAGCTGTGCTGAAACGAGCTCAGTTCTTTTTAAAACAAAGCGCCCCGGGTAAGGGCGTAGAGCCTGGGAGCTCAATCCCCCAGAGCCCCCAGGCAAAAATGCAGTATTTACTCAACTGACTTCTGCGGCTTCTGGTGGGCTTTTCAAGTGGGAGGAGGCGGGAGGAGGGGGGAAAATAAGGAAGCTCGAGCTTCAGGAGCTGATAAATTCGTTTCTCTTTTTCCTTGGACTGTCGTAGCCAGGTGGAGAAGACTTTTTAAAAAAACCTAGGATTCTTCCCCGGCCTGAGAAGTAGATGATACCTAGATACATAGGACAAGAAAGGTAACTTTCCTTGTTTCTTTTTAAAATACCAAAGAGAGAGAGAGAGAGAAAGCGGGAACCGAGGAGGAAGCTTTAGACTTTTGTTTACCGGTATAAAGTTTTGCAAGTTTGTTGCAAAGTTGGGCGGGTGGCTCCAAGATCCATTTTCCCAGGTGCGGGGGGGAGCGGTCTCTATTACTCTGCTTGTAGGGTTCAGGAAATTTGAAGTGGTCCTGAAAATGTTGGTATTTTTTCAGCAGTAGCCTGGAGTGGGTTAGGCGCGTGAGGCGGAGGGACACTTAGGTCAGGTCAAGGGCAGACTGTTCTCCACGCACACTCCACCGAGCGGCGCGCGACCTCGGGAAGGGAGAGGACCGGAGGAGAACCAGCAGTTGCATCCTCGTGGGTGGGGAGTGCGAGACCTCCTCAGCTCCAGCCAGCTGGGTGAATGGGGCGCGCACGGCCCCGGAACGCCGAGGCTGGATAAAATATGCCAGGCCTGCGCTTCTCGGGCTCATCAAGGCTGCGGGAGCCTCCCCGAGCTATCATCCTTTGTAATTGCAACCGTCAATCAACACTTGAAGACAAAGTCAAAGCCGGGAAGGGCGAGCCCGGGAGACTACCCTTGCTGGAAAGGAGGCGGCGCGGGGGAGGGGTGAAGAGGGAGAAGTTTGCTAGAAGTTGGCTGCGGAGTGACAGAGAAATTCGGAACGCTCGCGGTAGCTACGGGGAACTTGTCTCTTAAGTCTCCGCCAGGAGTAAGGCGGAGGTAAATTCCTACACGTGCTTTCATAGAGAGAGAGCTCCCGTGGAGGGTGGTATTGCGTACCAGTTTACGATTGATGCATTCTGTGGACACTGCAGACCGTTGTTGGCATCGGCATTGAGATCATATAGTTATTTCATCCCAACTCTTCTTCCAGCCATTTAATTCTCTTAAACCTCATCTGAGGCCATAGTAATCTAGAGCCATCCAGGGAGTAGAAGGTGAACACCCTGGGCTCCGCCTCCTCCTCGTACTGCTCTAGGCAAGAGAGAACATTGTTGGAGGCACCTCGATGCAGCCAAGGTCACGGAGCAAGCTGGTCCCCTGCTTTAGTGGTGTCTCTACCCAACGGAATTGGAGGGTGAAAGACCCAGAGTGCTTGCTGGGTAATCTGGAGGGCATTGGGAGGGTGTACTCCGGATGAGCATGGAAGTGTGATTGCCTCATCCCTCCTTTTGCGGGAGACTCGGCCACTCCCCCAAACTTGAGGACCGACTCTGGGGGAAAACGTGAGTGTGCCCTTGAATTTCCAACAAAACCCAGCTCCTGTAGATTTTCCACCCTGAAATCCTCCGGCGGTGGTTTTAAGACCCTGGAAATATGAAATAAGGCTGATCCTAGGTAACTCGTTCTACCCTGGGGCTGGTGGAGTTCACAGAGTTCCCTTTGTTTCTAGAAAAAAGTCTGTCTTGTGTGTGTGTGTGTGTGTGTGTGTGTGAGAGAGAGAGAGAGAG